TATGAATCACATCAAACAAATCTCATCACAACAGTGTAAGAGACATCCCTGACCTGCATCATTCAGATTTTAAAGGGGTCAGAATAAGGACAAATAACCAAAAACCTTTCTCTCCCTCTGCCCTCTCATCACGCAACAATCATTTGATTCAAGCATAAACAACAGAATTATTTTTCCCAAAACAGACCATCTATTAACATGTCAAAGAAATGGATGAACAGCTATGGGTCAAAGGGACGAATGGGCGAATGGGATTAAGACCTTTATTCTTCATTCTAGAGTTCAATCAACTCCAACGGGATTTATTTTGATTAACATTTGACTATTACTTCTCTCGAAGGAGAAAACATTACAGCTATAATTATCACTGTGGTGTAAAAGCTTCCTCACACCATGAACTCTCACTCGAGCACACATCTAAACACTACATCCTTCCCCCTCTGACTCCTCTTCTTCAAATACTAAAAAGAGATATATTTCGTAAACTATAATATTACTATATTATTATTTCTCAGCTGTTTTAAGGTATTTTTGGCATGAATTTCTGATTTTAGGAAAATACGTATTGTGAGGCTTGACCCAACATCCACCATGTAACTATTCTGACATCAAGCAAACTAAGAATTAATCATATAAGACAATAGATGTAAGATGAATTGAATTTTTCGTTCCATGTATTTACTGCAAGTGATAGAAATTGTTAATGATCCTGTTAAGTCGATAAACTGTCATGTATTAAAGATTTGTGAATGATCCTTTAAGGTCAGATCTGCACTTTGATGGTTCTTTTTTTCTCCCCATTACTTCTTAGGTTTCTATATTGTTTATTTATGGGACATGGTGTATTGGGAGAGGGTTTTTTGAGTAAATTCCAGTTTAAGCAATTTGAAAGGTTGATAAAGGATTATAGCCTCCAGCTGAAACAAAGGAAGAAGATTTGGAATACATATGCCCGTCCTTTCAAGAATAAAACAGGCAGATCCATTGGGTAAATCGCCTTCGGCTCTTTTTTGCTTTTGTCGTCAGAATAGGTGTTTGTCAATCTGCACAACCTTTAGGCCCATCTCCTCTATTTAGTAAGCTGAGTCAACAAAAACTAAATCAGAATATTATAACGTTTCAATTATTATAATGGCTATGTTTTAAAGTTTTGTGCTGTTTGGCCAACATCAATCCCTTCCAGGGAAAGTTACGTTATAGTAATTGCTATTTGCTATTATTTTGCATCAGCCCACAAGAGACAGACAGACATTACTTCTGAGGGGCTACTGAGAAATCAACAGCAGCTCCAATGGATATTCTGAGCTTCCAAACACTGAGACACAGCAGAGACATTGACAGATTTCCAAGCGCTGAATAGCTTGGAGAAATGGTGGCGCCAGTTGCCCCGTAACTACACATCGTCTCCAGGAAAACCACCCCAGTGTATTGTGAGGAATTTTCCAGCACAAGCCAATGCAGCTAGGTTCTGACCAGAAAATCACAAGCTTCACGATGCCTCACAATATCCAAGTTACTTTCTATCCATGACTGATGGTTGATGTCAAGATAAAAGATTTTAATGTTTAGATTTCATTCATCGTCATCTTGGCATGTGTTAGTTTCATAAAAACCAAAATAAATATATACTATACTAGAATTGCTACTTCTACTGCTGTTCATGACAACCATGCATCATTGTTTAACATCATAATATTCAGCCTGTGTTCCGAAAAAATATATAAATGATTGTCTTTCATTTGTCTATTTGACCCTGTGTGATCCCTTTGAAGAAGCTAGTTCAATGAACTGGAAATCACAGCTTCTTATATGAGATTAATGAATTTAATCAAAGTGTCTAAATCTGCTCCAACAGGACCTGGTATATCCTTAAATTCTGCCATAAAGCTAACAGGGTAAAACAGCCACCCGTAACTGCTCTTGCAAGCGAGCTGTGGTTGATGAGATATTGTCAAATTTAACATTGAACTAAAATGAATCTTTGCAAATCACTGAACTCTCATCAAATCCCCAACGACCACGTAAGTGAAGTCCCGTCTATTGCCAGTGATTTCTACTTATCTCTCAAATCACTGTGTGGGAAAATGATTGTAATGGAGCAGCTTATTTCCCCCTATCTCAGTCAGTCTTTTCACTGGGATCTCTGTGTTTTTCTCTTCGCAACAGGACAGTGAAATGGAGAAGGGCCACAATGCCTCAATCCCTCTGTCTCTGACTGTACACTTACTTTCCCAGCAAATACTCTGATGCTCTGACGCCCCCAACAAGTCACACAAGAATCATTCAAAACAGCAAACTCTATTGAAAAGGTGAAAAGATTGAAAGAATGTAGTATGTTTTTCAAATTATTATTTTTTGTGTTTTATGACTGCACTCAAAGTGTGCCATGCTATGTTTACATTCTATAATCTGCATTTACCTTGTTTGACTTTTTTTTTTATATAATGGTCAACTGCTTGAACAATAAATCACTTTAATTGAGGTCCTAGCCACAAGTGTAATTTGGAAACTAGGTACCTAAAATTTATACTTGACAGGTTTTGGGACAATGAAGTCCTGTCCCATACTAGCTCATTAAAGGTCTCCCAGTTGTGCCTCTTATTGTACATGCGACCAAACATCTGTGATGTGCGACTACAAATCTTCCTTGGTCGCACCGCTGGGCTTCACATTTAGCTGGTCTGTCTCTGTATTTTAATTGTGTCGTTTCCTCATCTCATGTCCTCTGCGGAGTTGACACTCTCACACACAGGCCTCAGGCTGGCTCCGCCTCCACTCACACACTGACACATGGACAGTGAAGCAGAGATGAGAGGCGGTGAATGAGGTGGTAAATATTGAACAGTGGCAACAAAAAGTGTAAATACAGGGTTTCAACAATGGGCTGCCAGTACAAAACGATTAGCGCCGCTGCTTCAGGATTAGAGCAGAAGTTGTGGTTAATTTGTACCGTGTCAGAGTCTCTGTCTGAGTGTCCTCACTCTACACTCCTGCTGCTCTGCCCTCACTTTTACACTTGAACAATAAATTCCAACACTAATCACAAGTTATTAGGAACTGAACAGTGCTGAAGTTTAATTTAAGGTTGTTTGATTCACGAGTCCAACATTTATTGAATATCGATATGGAATCGAATCAAAATTCTAATATAATCAAGACCTTGTGAATCAGAATTTAATTGATTTGGGAAATCAGTGCCCAAAAGGCGCAGTAAAAATGTTTGGGTGCACCTAAATGAAAAAGTTAGGCGCACCGGTGCAGAAGTTAGCCTGGAGCCCTGTATTGAGAAAGCAACAGGTCAACTGAGCTATTTAACATGACTGGTTCACATGGTGGTATGTGCAGGAGAACAAGTAAAGCAAATACCAACTATTTCAATGTCTCTATGGGCATGTGAGTATTATATCATGATACAGCAGATTTGAAGTGTGTGCCATCTTTACAAACAAGAACACTTTGGAAATAAAAAGATTGAGCCTTGTTTTTAAAGAGCAATTAATTAATCTCAGGTTTCAGTCCAATAGACTAAATAACTAAGACATTCTGAAAATTCTTTCTAGGCTTTTTGGAGTTAACAATAACAGATGGCAAATCAATAGTGGGGTCTTCAAGAGGTAGAATAGTTACTGTATTTCAAGACAACTACAGCCCCACAATACTCAGGCAAAGGTCAGCAATTATTTTGTGAAACAAAAGACACTTGTTTCACTACAAAGCTATCTGCCCAATTCATACACCCGAGCCATACTTTATTAGTTCCGCAAGGGACATACATCAATTCAGGACCTAGTATAAAAGGTTAATTGGCAAAAGAGTCTTGTGGTTGAGAACAGTGTGTCAATAAATTGGTGGAATGGAGCCTTTTGAGATAGAAACCATACCTGTCCAGCCAAAGAAATTAAACTAGAATGGTACCTACTGTAGTGCAAACCTCTGATAACACATGTAGTATTTCATGTAGTTTTTGATAAAACTGCTGTTTGAAGGACTTTAATTTGCTGCCTTTTGGCCAGTGGCCTCTTTATTTTATCATGCAGGTAAGCAAATGCAGGCATAAACAAGCTGGTCCCCGTGGTGACTAGAGATGGAAAGCCTAAGGCAACTTTGGAGGGATGTCTGGTTATAGCAAACATAATAAATGCTACATTTATTTGCAATGCAACCTGCTGTTGCTCTCTCTCCTTGTCTCTCACAAGCAATAGGGCTGGGCAAATTGACTTCAAATCAATATCATGATTATTTCAAAACTTTTCCACGATTACTATTAATGAACGATTATTTTATGCCCAGCCCTACAAACACATTCACAGAGTCGTCTGTAATAATTGGAGTGGCCGTCAAGGGCAGCCATTGCCCCCCCCAGCAATGATATTATGGAGTAAAATAATTCTGCTACTGATACTGATACATCAGCACACATACATTCAAAAAACAATTGGCGATCATTCCTATGATGTCGTTTAACCGAACCCCTAATGACAAAGAAATGTAATTTGAGGCTTGAATTTTTTTTTTCTTATAAATTACTATGGATAAAGAAAAAACATGAATGCAATCAAACACATAGAACCTAAATTTTATCTTAAGTGCGAAAGCCTCATTTTGGCCAATTTTTTTATCATCAACCAGATAAATCGGTGGACTTTTGTGCATTTTTACAAATATGTCCCAGTCCAAGTGTAAATACATCTAAGACAAATAAGATTACACTGGCTTGCTACCCAACATATCATGTTTTTGATACTGAATAATTAATAATAATCCCTCATTCCTCTCTGTAAGGCCAGGTCTCATGTTGGACTTCATTCATTAAATCATACATCATTTTTAATATGTGCCCAGAGTATAGTGTTGAATATAGTGTAGTGAACATACACTCAAAAACTCACCGTTTTAGATGCAGTAAAAATATATTGGATAACCATTTCTCTCTTTGTGTTAAGGTCCTTTTCTCTCAGAGGAGTCTTTTTTTCCTCATTCAAGTTCATGTCCTCCTGAAAAACAGAAAGAGACAATGAATACATTTGAAATGTTAATCTGCATCATTCTTACTTACAAGAAAATAAATAATGGATGAGATTACACCTGAAACAATACTAAAAATACCACAAAATTCCTTTCACATTGCATTTAGTTTATATTACATATTTGAGGATTTTACATGACGAGTTGCTTGATTGTTTTTCTAAGAAAATGTTGATGATATTGTTTGTCGATAACAAAGCAACAAACCATCATCTTTTCAAACAGAGCCAAGATCTCTTTTTCCGAGGTGATCTTTGATGACATTTCCTCAAACGGATGTGAGGTGGATGATGAGGAAATAGACCAGTCATTGGAATTGTGTTTCGACTGTGATAAGGGTGGCCGCTCCTTCTTACTGCCCGGGATCCGAATACTGGCAAATCTGTCCAGCTGTAGAAACAACAGAAAAAGTTCTGGTTAGAAAAGGAACAAATCTGCAACAGTTTTTAGTGTCAAGGTGATATAAATGAAAGCTGTGTTATATTATGAGCACATCTACATGATTAATACTAAGAAGAGAGTAGATGGAACAATTAGCCTCTTAATTAGTTAGAAAAAGTGTGAGCTTTGAACAAAGCACATCCAGAGCGCATCTGTTTCACACATGTTGAACTAAAGAGCTGTCTAGAGAGCATGTAAAGCCAACAAAGACATTAGTTAGTGAGAAAAGCAGTCTGTGCTCTGTCACGTGGATGAATCCAATGTCTGGCAATGAAGACCAGTTTCATTGCCACTCAAGACAAGAGACAAGCATATAAGATGACTGTGATGTTAGATGTTACAGAGACAACCAAGAGGAGAGAAAACGCACAAATCACCCAAATCTTACCACATCGTCTGTGATGTTTCTAAAGGGTAGGTGCTACAGGTGGGGAACAGAAGAAATACAAATCAGGCTTAATGCAGAATTAACAATAATAAAAACATGTTTTAGCATTGCAGCAGAACAGACACAGCAAAGAAATGGGTTTATTTCAAAATTAAACATATTTCCTGACCACACTTTGCCTCTATAACAGATATTCTGACAACCTTTAGTCTATATCAACCACCAACAGTAAAACCCTTTGGCAATAACTCAACCACAGACATTCTCATGTCAAAGCAGAACATTCCCTACAGAAAGAAAATCCTCCTAAGTGGTGCAGTTTTATTCACCAAAGTTTTGATGTCAAACCCATGGGTCATGTTAGTCAAAATCAACAACAGTAAACATTTATTTATTTTACAAAAAATATTCTGCCTGAAGGTGCTTCTCTCTATTGGCAAAATATAAAGTATCCACTTGAGCAGTGGAAGAGACTGCTTGGTATCATGCACAGTAACTTCTGCTTTTTCTGTAACAGAAGATTTTTTTCACTTAGTATTTTTGTGTTGCTTTGTGGTCTTCTAGGCAGGTTGCCATCTGCACTTCTAACTTGTGAAATAGAGTCAAAAAAGCCAAAGGAATAATCCTAATGAGGAATGGTGAGTCAGAACGTGAACAGAAAACATTACAATTCAAAATGTTGTCAAAATGAAATGCTGAATTGAACCGAACACCAAAACTACATAAGGTGAATTTCAACAACTAGACAATATAACCACAAGCAATGATTTCCAGGTTCAAGCCTGTCTGTGCTCAACCGAAGGAAACATCTCAATCAGTTTAGATTAAAGTCACAAATGGCAGAAAGTGTTTTAAGACTCACAAAAGATGAGCAATCAAACTTGTTTCTTTCTGTTAAGGCACACAAAGCTAATTTTATACATCATCTACCCAATGACATTGCTCCGATTATGACTTAATGTATAATTGTATATGTGCTCATTTCCAATTTTAGACCTAAACTAAAAACACACTGAATAATCAATTGTATTGTACTACAGACTGCAAGCAGAGTGACAAAAAATATTAAATATATACACTTAAAGGTACAGTGTGTAGAATTTAGTGACATCTAGTGTTGATATTGCATGTTGCAGCTGAACACCCCTCACCCTCTCCTTCCAAACATGAAAAAGAACCTGTGGTAGCTTCAGTAGTCATAAAAACTCAAAAGGTGTTTAGTTTGTCCAGTCTGGACTAATGTAAAAAAACATGGCGGCCTCCGTAGAGATGGTCCCCTCGATGTAAATATAAAGTATTTAAACATAAAGGGATGTTTCTAAGGTAAAAAAAACTATGATTTGTACAATTTAGATGAAATGAACTAGTGAAAACATCATGAGGATTATTCTACATTAAATTTCTGCCAATAGATCCTCTTCACCTAAATCTTACACATTGGACCTTTAAACTTAAGGCTTTGAGTAACTAAAGCCACTAGTACAGAGGCACAAATATACATGTTCAACAGCATAATTCAGTAACAACAATCAATGGAAACTCAAGGACAGCGTGTTCATAACAAGGCTACACAATAGATAACCATGGTTACTCATCTAGATATTAATTTGTCTGGATGAAAAAATTATTTTGTTATACAAATCAAAGTATGTCCAGCAGCTATTAGAATTATTTACAACCAATGATGTTAAAATCAATAATAGCATGACTGCCCAGGATAGAGATCACACAATTAACCAATGGGTTGATCAACAAAGGCGCGATGGGCCCTTCTCCATCATCCTCTGACATTTTATGACAAAACTAACAGGAAAATATTTGGCAGACTCAATTACTTTCTCAATATTCATTCACAGTCATGACTTAAACTGCAGACAAGGGCAAGGCTTCATCTGGACTCCGAACAGAGTAAGCAAAAGAACCAAAAATGACTACCATGGCAAAAGGGCTAGAGATTACACATGTCAGTGTGCTGGTTGGATATAAACATACACAGCATGCTAACTTAAAAACTATCGCACATCAAATATAATTAAGGCTGACATAAAGCAAGCTATGAGGTCATTCAGGTTAACAAAAAATACCTTAGTGCTTTGTACGTTTTCCACGATCTCACTATTGCAAATGTTTGTTTTTAAATTGACAGAATAGGACGGTCAAATAACAGTAATTTGTAAATGTCAGTGAACACATTTTACTTTCCCGCTATCAACCTCTTTATTTAATTAAACTCTGATAACGTCTTTTTCAATTAACTGAGACAAGTAGCAGAGACAACACCAATTTGTAAAACACAGCACATGCCATCCACAATAGAAAAGAGAGGTAAACGCAGAAAAGGAATGCCTCGTGAAGGTTGTGGGAACCAAGACAGAAATCCACAGACATCAGAATTTGAAAGCTTTATCTCTCAGTCTTAACCTTCATTAACT